GGCGTTCCGGAGCCGCTGCCGCGCTCTGCCGGGCCAGGCCGCCGAGGCTCCTCGGGCTCTGGGCTCGGCCGCGGGGGGTTACCTGGTGACAGGTACACAAGTTAGGCTGAGTTCGGGCGGACCCCTCGGTGGCTTGGAATAGGACTGCCTTCAGCTCCCCACCAGCGTCTTCCCTGACTCCACTGCTTCCACAGCCTAACTCCTCCCAGTCTCCTACCCCCCTCCCCAATTCTGACCTTTCAGAAGTGGTGGGTGGGGAGAGGGGAGTGCAGTCTGAGGAACCAGTAGGAGCAAAGCCTGGTAGGCTGCCAGGCGCCCTGGAGCGGGGAGATGGAGAGGGTACTGGAGGGAAGGCGGGGCGGGGGGGGGGTCCACCAGGAAGCAAGCTGAGGCCTGATCACAGCTGGCTTCAGTGAGTGGCCTCAGTGGCCAGCCAGGGATATCTGCAGGGGCCCAGGGACAGGGCTGGGACCTGTGCCCTGTGTCTACCTCCTTCCTAGTTGGGCAGCCCTGGTCCTTCTGCTCACCTGCCTCTCCTCCAGGTCAATTCCAATGTACACAACAGCCCCGAGAGGCAAGCATCACTGTCCTCATTTCAGAAATGATGAAACTGAGGGTTGGGTAGGGCAGTTGTTTGTGTCAGGCCTGAGCTGAAGGTTTTAGGGGGCATTATGGTCTGACCCTCATGCCCCAGGGGTTCCAAGCTCAGAGAGGTTAAGGGCTTAGCTAAATCTACATAGCCAATAAGGGGTGGAGATGGCTCCAGGTAGGGGCGATAGAGCCTTTGGTCTCCACCACTTCCCAACCAGACTCTGCCCTGGATTTCAGGACATCTCTGTCCTAACCTGTAGGCCTAGGGCTGGTCTGACTCCATTCTAGACCACCTGGGGTGGGTTTGGGGATCCCATCATTGAGGAGGTAGAGCAGTCTGTGATGGTCTCCCATAAACTCCAATATTATCAGGTCATCCTTAGCTCTAGAATCTGCCATGGCTCTCAGCCACCACTAGAAGAATGTCCGTTCCTTGTCTGGGCTTTCAAAGCCTTCCGTCTCTTCCTTGGGCCTACCTGGAGTGGGGCATTGGGCCAGGTGTCCAGAGGAAGAAATGCAAAGCTGGGAAATGGGAGCTTCTGCTGTGAACCAGGACTTTCCTAGGGGTCCCTGTTCTCATCCACAACCCTCCGCCCTGCCCCACCTCCCCGCACTACCTTCTAAAATGCAAATCTGCTAACCATAAGTCTCTGCTTAAACTCTCCCCATTGGGCCCCCACCCATCAATTTCCAGGCCCTTCATGAACTGGTTCCTGCCTGCCTTTCCTGCTTCACTCATTCATTCAACACACATCTGCTGGCCCATGTCTGGGGCTGCACTGGGCTTCACAGACCCAGGGGAAGAGGCAGGCCTGGCCCTCACCTGCTGCTTCAGGCCTGTGACTCCCTGGCTCTCAATTCCCCCTCCTCTGGGTTCCAACCAGGTTTCCTCTTCCTTAGGTGCATAAACCCTAGTCCCTCTGCCCAGCAGGCGCAGCAGGCCCAGCAGGCCCAGCACACCCAGCACGCCTCTCCCACCTTGGCTCTCAGTGATCCCTTATTTACCATTCAAGACCCAGCTGAGATGCCAGGTCCCCTGTGAAGCTGTGATGTTGTAATGTAATTAAAAAGTAAAGTAGTGTGGTGTGTGTGTATATATATATATATATATATATATATATATATATATATATACACATATATATATATATGGTCTTCATCTCATTCCGAGCACAGAACTCCCCAAACCTTTAGAATTTCCTAAGTGATAGACAGATAAAAGTGAAAGGAGTGACTTTTGCTGTTCATAATAAGCCTTTTTTAACCACATCTGAATTCATATTAATGAGGTCACTTTCGGAAATCTACTAAGGATGGGGTCTGGTTGTCAGGAGAATGAACTATGTGATTAGAGGGTTAGAATTTTCAGCCTATACCTACATCGGGGGGGGGGCGCGCTGGGGATTGAGTCCTATCACCAATGGCCAGGGATATAATCAATTAATCAAGTCCATGTAATGAAGCCTCCATAAAGCCCCCAGTCAGAGGGTTCAGAGAACTTCTGGGTTGGTGAACCTGTAGAGGTGCTGGCAATGTGTCATGCCTGGAGGGGGTATGGAAGCCCTGCCCCTCCCACATACCTTGGCTACCTATCTCTTCCACCTGGTTGTTCTTGATCTGTACTGTTTATAATAAACCGGTAATCTAGTAAGTAAACGGGCTCCCGCGTTCTGTGTGCTGTTCTAGCAAACTATCAAACCTGAGGAGGAGGTCATGGGAACCTCCGATTTACAGCTGGTTGGTAAGGAGCGCAGGTGACAACCTGGACTTCCAACAGGGGTCTGAAGTGGGAGGAGCAGTCCTGTGGGCCTGAACCCTTAACCTGTGGGGTCTGACACTAATTCCAGGTAGACAGGGTCAGAACTGGATTGAATTTTAGGACACCAGCTGGTGACCCAGAATCGACTGGTGTGGGGAAAACCCTCACATATTTGGTGTCAGATGTAAAGTGAGTAGAATGTAGAGGAAAACAAGAGCTTTTTCCTTTTTCAGAAGCTTTGCCAGAATCCCCTGTAACCTGGGCAGTTCTTGCTCGTGTTATGCCTTGTCCAGACCTCATCCCAGCGCTTACTACTCTGCTGTACTTGTTTATTTATGAATTTGCCTCCTCTACCAGACTAGGCCCTCCTTGAGGTCAGGGCAGTGTTGATCTGTAAGACGTTGTGATGCCTGGCTCATAAAACGGTCAATACATGTTTGATGGAAGAATCGATTCTTACAATCCTTGCAACAACCACATACGGTGATCGCCCTTTCCCCATTTTACTGGTGAAGAAACTGACCATTTATCCTAAGTTTCAACAGAATAGTGGAAAAACATGTTGAAAACAAGGAAGAAATATGGGACAAAGTTAAGTAAAGATAGAGATCAGCACACAAACTAAGAATGGAAAGAAGTTCCTGAGGTTAATACCCTGGGAAACTGAGGTTCCTAGAAGTATGTGACTTGCCCAAGGTAACTCAGCAAGGATTTTAATTTGCCTCTAAGCTTCCTGGCAGTAGGAGTTGGCAATTCTGTTGTTAAGGAGAAAGCAGCATAACCATTCTTGACCCAGAAGTGAAGGTGAAATTGCTTCTGTGGGCCCTAATGAAGAGGATACAGCCACCTGGTATTTAGCGACTCCAGGGCAAGTCAGTTGCTACATGCAGCAGTTGCTGTCACTGCAGGCCGACTGCACTCACCAATATGCAACTCACTGCAACCAGTTCTCCAGGTGCCAGAACATTTAGGCTGGGACAGGGGGTGGGAGATGGGGTTCCACAAGGTTGGGGCTAATGCCTGGGATAATCTCACAGGGTCTTCTTTGATTATTAGCAAGGCTTCTGATTCTGTGGGTGGTTGGGAGGTCAAGGTCAGCACTCTAGTGGGCACAAGGTGGTGATGGAGTGTGGGCTTGCAAGAGGGAAACAGTGCTCAGCCAGCAGCTGGGCTGGGACAGGTAAGGGGGCAAGCTGGAGAAGGACGGGGTCCAGGCCCTTGTTCCCTGCCCCTGGGAGCTCAGGGAGGGCAAAGGGATCTGCAGAACATGGTCAGGGGATGCTTCAATCTACATACCCAGGTTGACAGGACCTCAAGCTCTCCACGAACCCTTCTGGCCTGGTACATTCTAGAGCAGGTGAATCTAAGCAGCCCCCCTGGCCTTCCAACTCTTAGTTCAGTCTCTGAAGCATAGCCAGCTTGGGGCAATGCAACTGCTGGAGAGGAAATGGTGTGGCAGATGGGGGCCCAGGGCCCTGCCTCTAAAGTCAGACCTGGGTTCAAATCCCTGTTCTGTTGCGTGCCCTACTCAAACCACTCAACCTCTCTGTGCCTCGGTTTCCTCCTCTATAAAATGGCAGACAGGAGAGACCCAATAAACTGTTGCTGTTGTTATTACTATGAAATGCAGCACAGGTAATGGTGGAGGTGATGTGCTGGGTGGGGTGAGACAAGTGAGTCTAACTTATTTGCTGAATAGGACTCTGGTCTGCTAACAGCTGAGCCAGGTCCTACATTCCGGCTGTGAGAAGCAGGTGTAGCTGGGGGCTCTAAAGGGACCCACAAGCAAGGGAGGCTGCAACTTTCTAGGCCCTGCCAGTGCTGGGCAGTGCTGAGCTGAGCCATGCTCCCTCTGACACAGGAGCCCCACTTTCTGCCGACCCCGTTGCTTCCCAAGTAGTTTGTGTGTGAGAAGCCCTTTCTTCAGGTGAAAGCTTCTGGAGAAGCTCACTATCAGCCTGGGAGTCAAAGTCTCTCAGGGTTCAAATCCTTAGCTGGGGGCTTTAGGTAGATTACTTTGCCTCTCAGAGCCTCAGTTTTCCCATCTCTCAAATAGGGATAATAATCTCTTACAGGGTTGTTCCTTGGATGGCATGCCTGGCACACAGTAAGTGCTGTTACCATCATGGAGAACAGAAAAGCCCAGAACTGCCCCAGGTGCATGAGAGTGGGCCCTGGATCCCCTACCTGTTCAGCTTTCTTATCCTCTTCTCCATCTCCAGGGTCTCCAGAAGGGACTCAGAAGCACAGTGTGGCAGACACTTGTCTGGCTCCACCCTACATGGGCAGTTTCCTTCCCCTCTCTGGGCCCAGCCTCCTTGGATCCCAAATCAGGGGTACTGATTCTCATCTTCCTTTCCTCCCTAGAGCTTGCGGAGGGCACAGCAGCTGCCACAGGGCCAGGAAAGAGCTCTTCTGCTGGCCAGCCCTGAACAAGGAGACCAGACTCTGGGCCCCCTGAGGCCTCGGCTGTATCCAGCTCAGTTGTAGGCTTACAGAAATGGCCTGCCTTGCCTGCTGGCTTCTGGTAGCTTCCCCATAGTACCCACAGGAGTGCAGCAACTGTCTGCTGGGTGGGAGACAAGGCCACTCACCATTGAGCACTGGGGGTGTGGAAGGAGATCCTAAGGGGGATAAGTCATCTGACTCCAGGTACCACGTGGCTTCATCCATGCGGGACCTTCTCCTGGTAAAGAGATGGGAGGGGAGTTGTGATTCGTGAATCTGAGGACGGTTGGGAGGCAGACGATCTGGGTGGGTGGCACTCACCTCCCATTCTGGGCTTCCCCAGGCTTCGGGGAACTGGGACCCCAGGCCCAGCATGCTCGCCGCTCTCCATTGCTAGAGTCCTCCAGACGTCGTGGGGACTGTCGGCCCCATGCCTGGCCTGGTTCTGCGGGCTCCACTGTGGCAGGGAGAACCGATGGAGTCTGAGCTGAGGTCAAGAACCCTGACTTTTGTCCTCCCATCACGAGAGTCAGACTCCAGGGGCAACTTCTTAGACAATGGAGGGGGTCTGGCCAGGCCCCATACCATTCCCAGAGTGATCTTTGGGCCACAGAGAATCTGAACAGAACTGGGGCAGGGTAGGAGGGTGTGGGTCATGGGACTGGCAGTGGGTGGGGCATCTCACCTAGTCCTTCTGCTGGCATTTGCTACTTAGTAGTTAGTACTGCAGCAAACTGCCTGGGCTTGAATTCTGACTCTGCCACGTACTAGTTGTGCAGTGTTAGGCAGTTACTTTTTTCACTTTTCTCATCAGTAAAACTTAGATAATAACAAGGATATCTACCTCACAGGATTATGGGGCGGAATTAAGTTAATATTAGCAAAGCATTTAGGAAAATGAGTGATACATAGTGTCATACAACTGTTAGATTGAAAAAAATTATAAAATGAATGCTGCTTGGGGAATTCAGAGGTACCAGTTTAGATGGACAGAGAGGGAATCCCAGGAGTGGGGAGGAAGAGGAGGAGACAGAGAGTAGTAGCCCCCTCCAAAGATAAGGTTTGAAAAAAAGGATAAGGGCTGGGGGAAGGGCGTAGGCAAAGAAAGGCAAAGTGTCTTACACTGGATGGCCCGGAACCGGGGGAAGGTGGGCGAGTCCCCAGCCCCGACCTCGAAGACGTTTCTCCTCCTGTCCAGGCCGGGCGAGGCCTGCACGGTGATGCGGTGTTTGAAGTCTGGGGTTAGGAGGGGAAGTAGGGTAGATTTGTGGTGAAGGAAAGACAGGATCCCAACCCGCAGGGGCCCTCGGCTGGCTCCCAGGCCACACAGGCAGAGGAGGGACCGGGCTGGCAAGGTAGTTGGGTGACTGGGGCCGGCCTCACTGCCTTCCTGGACCCGACTCTCGGTGAGGAAAGCAGATCTCCACTCGGAGAAGAGCTGCCAAGTCGGAGATTCCCGGGAAGCGGCCCACCCCGCCCCCTCGGCCTTCCCAGAACTTTCACGAGCCCCGCCCCTTACCGGCCGCAGCCACTCCCAGGTCGATATGCAAATATTCCAGCCGGAACCCACCCACAGGCAAAAAATACACTCCTGGTCCCGCCCCTTCCACCTCAGCTCACACCCATCAACACTCTAGACCAATCGCCGTGTGGCCAACACACACACGCACGCCTGACCCCACCCCTCCGCCCACTAAGCCAATGGCGGGACGGCGTTCTGGGGGCCCGCCTCTTACCGAGCGGCATGCTGATACGCTCGCCCCCGTCGCGCGCGCGGAGTTTGCTGCGCTTGAAGGTGCCGCGGCGGCGGCGAACGTGCGGCCGCTCGCGGTCAACCTGCTGCAAGAGCAGAGTCAACTCGCGCTCGAACACCTCCAGCTCCCACTGAGCCAGCAGGTGCTCGCGCCGCCGCAGCTGCTCCGCCTGTGACCGCTGCTCACGCGCCGCGCGGGTCAGCTCCTCCTCGCGGCTCAGTAGTTCCTGTGCCCGGAAGAGAGAAGGCACAGCCCGGTCCGGCCCCTGTCGCTCACCCCGACCCTCTGCCCCCTAGAAACCAGTAAGACATTCCTTCCCGGCGTCTCTTTCCAACCCTGGGATCCCGATTCCTCCCACCTTTTCCTTGGCCCGCAGCTCGTCGAAGAGGCCTTGGATCTCGCGCTTCCAGCCTTCCTGCATGGAATGGAAGGAGTCCCGCGGCATTTCCCGCAAAACTTGCGCCTCTAGCGCCTCCAACTGCTGAAGAATGGAGGCGAAGTCGGGCCTGCGGTGGGGGTCCTGCGCCCAGCAGTCTGGGGATACGGAGTGGAGACGGGGAGCAGAATAAGTAGGGGATCTGTGACTGGATGTGTCCTGGGCCAAGGAACTCTGCCCCTCACCCTCTTGCCTTAGCCCCTTACCGGCCATGAGCTGTGCGAAGGGCTCTGGGCAGGTGGATGGGATGGGCAGTGTGAGCTTGTTAACGGCCACTCCATAGGCTACAGCAAGGCAGTCGATGCCCCGGTAGGGCACTTCCCCAGTCAGCAATTCCCACAGCAGCACCCCAAAACTGTGGGTGAGACAAAGGGTCTGTGTCCCCTCCTCTACTTATTCATTGCCATTTCACCCCAAAGCAACCAACAGCTAAGTAATTTGTGCCCTCCCCCAGGCTCTGCTTGCCTGCCCAGCCCTAGATTTTGACAGCCGCCTCTGCCCTCTGCAGCCCCATATCTGTGCAGCCTCTACCCAGGCCGCACCTCCAGACATCGCTGCCCTTAGAGAAGGTGGAGGCCTTGATAACCTCGGGAGCCATCCAGGCATAGGTGCCCGCAGCACTCATTTGCGTGGTTTTGTGCCACTCGCGGGCTAGGCCGAAGTCAGTAATCTTCAGGGTCTTGTGCTCCATGTCATCACCTTCAATGGGCTGCAGCAGCAGAACTGGGGAAGAGAAGAGGCAGGACTGTGGTACTCCAGGCTCAGGTGGTAGGGTCAAGGGAGGAGTTGGGAGCGAACTGTCTTCTGACAGACATCCTGGCTGGGTACCAGGGGCACTAAGGTGAACTGTCTTAGGTCTTGCCCTGGAGGGCTCAGAGCTGGGGATTGGGTAGAATCAGACAATAATAACAATAATGGGAAAAACTTACCAAGGGGCTACTAGAAGCCAGGTATTTTACACTCAGCGCTAGTGCACGCGTGCACACACATCTATGAGGCAGACATTATTGTTCTCATTTTGCAGAAGAGGAAACTGAGCAAGGATGACTTAAGCAAGGTCATATGCAAATAAAGCAGATACCACAACCTGATCTGTGTGGTGGCAAAGCCAGTGCTCTAACTTTCCCCTCATACTGCATTGAATAGAAATGGGCAATCTGGCAGCCTCTCAGCATTTGTGGCTTTGATTCCAAGAGAAACTTGTGTCTTATCATTTTGCTGAGGCAGAAGTGTGAATCAGAACTTCCCTCGGGATGTGTAGCAGGAGGGAATCCCTTGGTGAGAAGGAAGCCCAGCAGGCACTATAGGCCCCTGATGCCCATGGCCCACTGTGGCCAGCACAGCCACTCCTAGGGGAGAAGAAGGCTGAAAGACACCACTGATGCAGCTGCACAAGAAGAGAAAGGGAGAGGTCTACGATGGTGGTTCTTGGCCAGAAAGGACTTCGGGACAAATGTAGGAGTGGATGGGCTTGGCAAGGGCACACGACTTTGTCCCAAATAGGCCACCATACCCTGTACAGAGAAGAGAAGCAGCAACTTGCAGATCTCTCACCAGGACAAGCATGGCTCAAATGAGAAGTTTTAGAGGAATACAAAGAGGGCAAAGTCACAGAATCTTCAAGGGTCTGAAGGAGCCTCTCTACTTTTCTGGTTCTAGCCAACTGCATTGTACAGAAGTGACATCCAAGCCAACTACATTTTTGAACATGTGTCATTTCAAGGCACACCTCTCAGGAATCCTGCCCAGGGTGACAGCACCATAATGGGGGCAGCACAGAGTAGTGGGGGTGGGGCAGAGGAGACTGGCACCTAACATAGCCTGGTGAGTCAGGGAAGACTTCTCAGAGGAGGTGGCAGAACCAGGGTACTTGCTTTTCTAGGCCTAAAGCCACAACTCTTGATCCTGCTGCTGGCCAGACTCTCAGGGCCTCATGGGGGCATCAGGCACTCCTGCGCAACCCCTCCCTGCTGTCCTAGGCTCCCAGGGCCTCTGGCTGCTTGTGCTGTTTCCTTCAGGCCTCCCCACCCTTAGCCTTTTCAATGCTGGTGTTCCTCAGAGCCTAGCCTCCCCTCAACCTCGTGCCACTGTCCCCAGGCTGTCTTGGCCTCTCCCAGGTGTCAGCTGCCCCCTCCTTGCTGGCATCTCCCACATTTGGAGCTCTAGGCCAGAAGTCGATCCAGCTACCCAGCAGCTGCCCTCCCTGATGTCTACACGCCCTCAACAACCACCTTCATCCTCCCACCATGCCCAGCAAATCTTTCTGCAATTTCTCCAAATTCAAAGAATGGTCCTGCAATGTACCCTCTCCTCTGAGCCAGATGGGGGAGTTCTGAACAGTTAGTAAAGCCAAGGATGACGACAAAACCCACCTCAGAGGGTTGTCATGAGTATTAAACAAGATCTGGCTTTTTCAAGCCTTACACACAGACTCACATCCAACATGAGTATACTAAATGCTGGCTGTCCTCAAGATTCTGTGGCTAACGTCTCTCATGTTGACTCTCTCCTTTCCATCCTCTATCACGACTTACTCCCAGCTTCGGGACAGCCTCTGACCTGGCTGCTGGAGACTCAGAACCAGACCATTTAGTAAACCCTGCGAAAGTTCATTCCAAAGAACTGCAGCTGGGTGGGACCGGTGGCTGGAGAGGGACCAGGCAAAGGGGTCTGTGTGCTGCGGTTGGGGAGGGACTCCTGTCTCCGTTGATGCCAGGACCCAACCATCCTCTTGAAGACCAACCTCTGCTGCTTCCTGGCTGGGTCTCTAGCCGCTTGTGGTACTGGTGAAGCGCTTTCTGCACCAGTATCTCAAGCTGAGAGGCCAGCCTCCCTTTTTCAGTCAGGTAATCTGAAGCCCAGAGAAGGGCAGCAACCCACTCAAAGTTTCAGGATTTCTTTGTACTGGTGGCCTTTCTGCCACTTTCAGCCCTCAGCTTGACCTGACACCAGTGAAGCCTCCTCCTCACCTCCACATCCCCTGCTTTCCTCCAAGTGCCTGGAATTTGTCCCAACCCTATTTGCTCTTCTGGTTCTGATGTGATGGGGTGGTCAGTGTTGCCTGGAGAAGGGGCTATAGATCCCCCTCCCAGCATCCCCTTAGGGCTCTCTGGCCTCTGAAAGGGACCTAGCCCCCAGCCCCCTCCCTGGGCTGCCTCTGGGGAGCTCGGGAGTGGCCTAGGCAGCTCATACCTCTTCCGCTTTCCTCCCATGGTCCCTACTTCTCCTTTCTGGGAGGCCTGGCCCAGGTCTTCAACTGGGGGGGTCCTTTGGGGGAGACTTGGGGGAGGTCAGGTCCAGGCCGGGCTGGCTAGTCTGTCCTGTGACTCGTGGGCCTGGAGAATTCCCCCTCCTCTCCCCGCTAGGCTTCCTCACAAGGCCCCCATTGTCCAGGAAAATCACGCCATTGTTTCCTGCTCGCACTCCCCCCATCCCAAGGACTCCCCCCTCAATCCCGCAGACAGCACCCCGGGCCTAGGACTGGGGTCTGTGAGGTGGGAGGCCAGGCTCAGGGAGGCTGAAGGCACCCTGCCTGCCATTCACCACCACCCAGACTTTGGGAGGGAGGCAGGGAACTGGGAGGGAGTTGGGGGTGCGATCCCGGCTCCTTCCTCTCCCACAAACCCCCCCACCCCCAGCTCTTTCCTCCCCTGCAGGCAGCTGGGCTGGAGAGAGAGCAGAGGCTGGAGCAGGGGCAGGAAGCCAGCTCAGGGGCAGCAGGAAACGCAGGAAGCGGTGGGGAGGGTGGGGAGCAGGGGCCGGGGCTATTGTTCCATTTTTTCTGGAAAGAAAACTGGAGGAAAAACAGAAGATGGGAGTCCCCTCCCCCCAGGCCTTCGGGGAATCCCCCTCAGGCTGGGGCAGGGAGTAGGGGTCCCTAGATGGCCAGGGCCCAGGAGTAAGGCTGAGGTGGCAACTGCACCCTACAATGGATGAGAGGAGTGGGTGGTATGGCTGGCAGGCCTCCTCAGGCCCCTCTGGCCCTGGCAAGGACTTGGATATCACTGGGCCTGGTGTTCTGCTCCCCCACGTCCCTTATCCATGGTCAGCCCAGGCCAGGAGGCTCGAAATAGCCATGTTCACCCCTCCAAGAGCCACACATGCCTCTCCAGTGACCCCACTGGCCCTTCCTGCAATTCCTTTTGCTCTACAGCCTGTGCCTTGGGCCCCAGCAGGCCCAGCCCATGTCCCTACTACTGTGCTGGGTCTGCCTCTTTGCCTTTGCTCTTTCAGGCCCTGTTGGGACATCCAACTGGGTGTCTCTCTGAACATTCTTTGCTTTTCGCCTGGTGTGAAGCTTGCCTGCTTCAGGAAGCCCTCTGAACCTGTCGCTTGCTTGTCATGAACCCATGCTGGGTAGTGTGGGACCTGAAATGGCTGGAGATGGAGCCCTCACCGCTCGAGTCTCCCTTAGTCCTGCCACGCCCACCCCAAGTGCTGATTCTAGAAGCCCTCTTAGTGATCCAGCCTTCACATGTCCACACCCACGGCTGAGAACCCACTGAGTGCCAGGCATCAAGGACGCCCAGTCAGTTAAGCCGCTTTACCCTCCCAGTCACTCCCTTTTTACTGGGTCTGAGATTGAGGTTGAGTTGAAATAACCAGCTAGAGATCATGCAGCCAGGGGGAGGGGTGGGGCCAGAAGTCCATCCCTGGCCCCAGCCTTGACCATCACAGGGGGCTTTCCCCTTTGAGATCTCTGTTCTGGAGGAGCCGCCCAGCATAAGCGGAGGGAAGAGGAGGCACCAACAGATCAAGTGTGATCTTCAGGGGAGTTCCCTGAAGATGAGTGCCAGCATCTGGCACTCTTGAAATGGTGGCCAAGGTTAGGCAGATTGCTTATGGTCTACCTGACAGATTCCAATTTTTTAATTAGGTAGCTGCAAGCTGGGGTCAAGGACTCCTTCTGGGGTCACAGCATGAAGAACTCTGTAGGGTGCCTGATACTCCTGCTTTGGGGCTAGTGTGAGCCCATGGGCACCCCTGGTCAACTAGGACTTGCTTAGGGCAGGAGCTCCTGCCTCTATTAGATTCCCAGGTAGGCTCAGCCGAGAGTTGGCAGTAGGTGTATGCTTGGGCCATGCCACCTTCCAACCCCATGCTCCCCAAAACTCACTGTTGTTGGACTTGAGGTCTCGGTGGATGACAGGGACCAGGGCCTCGCAGTGCAGGTAGTGCATCCCACGGGCAATTTGCACAGCCCAGTTGACGAGCACATGGGGGGGCACACGCCGCCCAGCCAGGGCACGGCTGAGGGGTCCACCAGCAGCGTACTCCATCACCAGGCACAAGTTGGGCTCCTCCAGGCACACGGCCTTGAGGGCAATGATGTTGGGGTGTGCCAGCATGGCAAAAAGCCGGGCCTCCTGTCGCACGCTCTCAGCTGTCACACTGATGTCCTCATCGGGGTCCTGGCGAGCTGCCTTCACAGCCACCAGCTCACCTCGCCAGCTACCTCGGTAGACCTTGCCGAAGCCACCAATGCCAATTACCTCCTCCAGCCGCAGCTCCTGGAAGCTGGCCATCTCACAGGGGGGCGGACCACCGCCCCGAGACACATAGTTGGATGGAAAGATGCCCACCTGGCCACCCACCTGGCCCGCCCACCAGCCCTCATCGCCTGAGATAGCTGCATCCCGGGACAGCACCTCCACACGGTCGCCCTTCCGCAGGGCCAGCTCGTCCTGCCCACTGGGCTCATAGTCGAACAGGGCTGTCCACACAGGGTTGGCATAAGCTGCTGCCTTCGGGGACCCCTCTGGCCAACCTCCACCGCCGCTGCCCCCGCTGCCCCCACTGCCCCCGCTGTTCCATGACCCCAGCGGGCTCTTGAGGAAGAGATTCTTCAAGGGTTCCATGGCTGGGAGCTGGTGCTGGGGGGTGTGGGGACCTTCCCTAGGTGCCCCTGACTGCCGAGGCCCTAGTCCCGGAACCTGGGCATCCGGGCCCTGGCCCTTAGCCCCAGACCCACGCCTCTCTGGGGAGCCAGGAGTGTCGCCTCCCGGCCCCCCGCATCTCGGGCTTCCAGAGGAGGGCGACCTAGGGCAGTGTGGTCAGGCTCGGGGGGTGGGCCCCCGGGGCCTCCGGCGTCTCACCATGGCCAGCACAGAGGGGACCGGGCGTCCCTCAGTCCGGAGCAGTCCTGGGACCCTGGCTCCACCACCCACTAAGTGTAAGGTGGGACCAGCAAGGGGCAGCGCCTAGACTTCGGTTGGGTCTCTTTGCGCAGGGGGTGGCTGGAGTGTTAGGTGGAGCTGCCTCTTCCCGGCTCGGCTCTCTCGACCCAATGGCTCCAACCCCACTCCCTTCTTCCTCCTCCCTTTGTACTTTGGCCCCGGGGGCGGGAGGCAGAGGTGGAGGGTGGAGTTTCACTTTTTTCCGCTGTTCTCCCTCCTGCAGGAAACAGCATCAGATGACGCGGGCGGGTAGCACCGCTCCCCTCCCAGAGGCTGCGGGGCGACTGAACCAGGGAGTTCCTGGGTAGGCCGGCAAGGAGAGGCAAAAGGAGGGGAAAGGTAGCCCCGAACCCCCATGACAGCAGGTTTGGGATTGAGGTTGGTTTCTGCTAAGGACTGGCCATCACCGCAGTCTACAACTGCATCAGCAAAATTGGGGCAAAGAATCTGGCTTGGAAGAGGGGTAAACCGGAGGGACAAACTTGTCTTGGCTCCGAAGTTGCAGGGCTGTGTGACCCATCCTCCCTGTGCCTCATTCTCTTCATATCTGAAACGGGTCAGAAGCTCAGCCTCGCAGAGCCAGTGGGATGGGGGTGGGTAAGATTGCTGGAGGACGGAATTGGCTGCACCTCTAACACTTGGAACGGATTGTCTAAGGTTCTCCTCTTCCCCTCACCCGGGAAACAATCCACTTATTCATACCTCTTCCCCATGAGGGGGCGGAAACCTGAGATTGTCGTCTTGAAATTCGGCCAGTGATTGGATTCAGAATAGCTAAATCGCCCTTGCAACCGCTGGATTGACAATTGCCTTCAGCCCGTCACTTTAAGAAGAACGACGCTATCCTATTTCGACTAGTCCTGCCTGTTCTGGAGGGTCGCTCTCTACAATTTGTCTGAGCTCTGACCCGGAAGTAGAGGCAGCTCGTGACGTTTGAGGTCTCGCACTAAAGAGGGCGTGCTCCCGTAGCGCAGAACTGTAGCTTTAAGCCAGGGGAGTCCACGCCTCCATCCTTTTCCCCGCCTCTTGTAGCTCACTGGGAGAGCTTTGCGCCAATTAACTACGCCATTATTCAATGACCACTTAATTACCCCTTCAGTTCCGCCCAGTGGACTCCGCTAGGTTGGCATCGCTTAGGTGTGCGCATGCGCCCAAGCACTTCTGCCTTTCGGATCGTCCCTAGCCTTAGACCCGGACTCTGCGCACGCTCAAAGAGCTCTCCCGCTTCTCATCGCTCTACCACCTCCCTGCGCTTGCGCATTCATGCCGCCAGACTTTCCTTTTCCGGGTCCTGACTAGACTAGTCGGGCGCATGCGCTACTGCAGGTTGGCGGCTCGCGGCTCCTTCTTCCGGCCTCCCCCTTGGGCCGGCTCCCGTAAAAGCGGGGCGAGCGCAGAGTCAGAAGCGAGTGACCTGTGACCCCGGAAGTGGACCTCAGGGTCCCGGGGTTCTCCCCGGGCCGGAACCGAGGGAGCCGTCGCCTGCACCTCTGGAGCACCTACCCCACGCCCACCTCTGGATGCCGTCGACGGGTGCCCGGCCCGTGCCCCGCGCCTACCTGCCGGCCCGACCCTTGGGAGCAGTTCTGGGCCAGGGTTGGGGGCCAGGACCCCGCCCCTGATGCGGCTCCACCCCCGCGCCTGGGTCTCACACCGCTGACTGCCCCAGCCGGCCCCGCCCCCTGCCCGCACCCTCGCTCCACAGACCCCTCTCCCCCGCTGGGGGAGACCATGGCGTGAGCGCGAGCCCCGGCCCCGGGGCCTTCGGGCGCCAGGAGGGGCATGGGCCGGGGTCCGCCCCCATGAGGGTCCCGGGAGTGGGGCGCGCGCAGCAGCGGCGGGGCCATGGGGTCGCAGGTATTGCAGATCCTGCGCCAGGGGGTGTGGGCTTCGCTCACCGGCGGTTGGTTCTTCGACCCGCACCAGAGCACTTTCTCCAACTGCTTCCACCTTTATGTCTGGATCTTCCTGCTCACCTTTCCTTTCTTGCTGTACATGGTGAGACGCTGCCGCCACCTGTAGCTCCCACCGGGGAAAGGGAGGGCAGATGTTACGGAGGGGTGCAACCTGGCAGAGATTCCAGGCACTGGGATGTGGAAAGAGGACTCATTATAGAGTTTGGAGTGTATGGAGGGGAGGCCAAATTTTTCTTTTCCTGGCTTGGATGACCTTGAGCCCCTCACTTAATCTCTCTCTAGTTAGACAGAAGGCAGAATGCCCTGACAGGATGTTTGTATCAGGTGCATGCAGGGGTGATGAAGTCTTCTTGTGAATTTGTGAATCCTAGCCTTGACTGTGGTAGTAGGTCTACCCCCATGGGGGCAAGGCTGTGTGAAGAGGGACCTGACTTGATGCTACCTCCAGGTCCTGCCCCCGAGCTTGATGGTGGCTGGTGTATACTGCCTTGTGGTGGCTGTCATCTTCGCTACCATCAAGACTGTGAACTATCGGCTGCATGCTATGTTCGACCAGGGCGAGATTGTGGAGAAGCGCAACTCTACCATGGGGGAGCCAGAGGAAGAGCCTGCCCAGGGGGACAGCAATCTGCCCAGGTGGGCGGGGGCAGGGCCTGTGCTGGGAACGGAGGTGCCTGGGTCTGAGCACTGGAGGATGGAGAAGGGGCTTAAGGAACACTGGCTCCCTGAGCGGTTGAATGGTTCTGTGGTTGGCCCTGGACTTGTAAGGGAGACCCCTATGGAGGAAGGAGCGGTGGGGATGGTGGAGGAAGTACTACATGGAGAGCTAAAGTTATTTCAAAGCTGATGTTCTTTTCCACTGCCAGGGACCCTGGAGTGGAGATGACAGTGTTTAGGAAAGTGAGTTCCACACCCCCTGTACGTTGTAGCTCTCAGCATTCTGTGTTTGGCTTCAACCAGGTCTCGGTGAGTAGTCCCAGCCCTCAGCCTTCCCCACTCCTCTTCTGGGAGCCCACCCCCAACATGGGTATGTCCTGAGCCTACTTTTTGTCTTGTTTGCTCCTTTATGCATTTCTTTATCTGCTCAGGAGTTGCTGCCCCGAATGGATGACTCTGGGCCCCTCAGAGGTACGTGGCTGCTGCTCAGGGCTGAAGGTGGTGGTGTGGAACAGGGGATGGCATGTGGATGCCTCGAGGTCCTGCTGACGCCTCTGGGCCATGGTTGCAGACATCAAGGAGCTGGTGCGGGAGCAGGGCAGCAACAACGTGATTGTGACCTCAGCCGACCGAGAGATGCTGAAGCTAAGCTCACAGGAGAAATTGAGTGAGTGGGCATGATTGGCAGGGGCTTGAGGGGAAGACTAGCTGTCTTGTCTTTGAGTCACCCCAACTTTTGTACCCGTGGTGCTCTCTTTGTTCTCTTAGATGGGGCCTTTTCAATGTCCTGCCCCACTTGGGCTCTCGGAAGGCAGGGGCCATAGGACCCCCTATAGTTATCGGTTCCTTTTCTCTTTTTCTGTCTTTCTCTCTTCTGATAGTTGGAGACCTTCCCCAGACGCCCCCAGGGGCTGCCCCAGACCCATCTCTCCCCAGCACAGACTCATCAGAACGGTCTCCCTTGGCTGGAGATGGAACCCCCTGGAGTGGGAGCAGTGTAGCTGACACTCCCATGAGCCCCCTGCTGAAGGGGAGCCTCAGCCAGGAGCTGAGCAAGAGTTTCCTGACCCTGACCCGGCCTGACCGGGCCCTGGTGAGGACCAGCAGTCGACGGGAACAACGCCGGGGAGCAAGCGGCTACCAGCCCCTGGACCGGCGGGGCTCAGGCGAGCCCACACCCCAGAAAGCCGGCTCCTCAGATTCCTGCTTCAGCGGCACTGACAGGGAGACACTGAGCAGCTTCAAGAGCGAGAAGACCAACTCGACCCACCTGGACAGCCCCCCTGGTGGGCAAGCTCCCGAAGGCAGCGACACAGACCCACCTTCTGAGGCTGAGCTGCCCGCCTCACCTGATGCCGGAGTCCCCTCAGATGACACACTGCGTTCCTTTGACACAGTCGTAGGAGCAGGGACACCACCAGGCCCAGCAGAGCCGCTCCTGGTTGTGCGGCCCAAGGACTTGGCCTTGCTGCGGCCTAGCAAACGGCGGCTGCCCATGCGAAGACAGTCCCCCTGCTGGCCGTGCCCCTCGGCGGCCGCTGCTTGAAGGCGGGGGATTCTTCGAGGATGATGACACCAGCGAGGGCAGTGAACTGAGCCCGGCCTCCAGCCTCCGATCCCAGCGCCGCTACAGCACTGACAGCTCCTCTTCCACGTCCTGCTATTCCCCCGAGAGCTCTCGGGGTGCAGCAGGAGGGCCCAGAAAACGACGGGCCCCCCACGGGGCTGAGGAGGGGACTGCTGTGCCCCCCAAGCGGCCCTATGGGACCCAGCGGACGCCTAGTACGGCCAGTGCCAAAACACATGCCCGCGTGCTGAGCATGGATGGGGCCGGGGGTGATGTCCTCAGGGGCCCCCTGGCTGGCTCCAAGGCTGAGCTGGAGGCCCAGGCCGGGGTGGAGCTGGCTGCTGGTGAGCCTGCTGTGCTGCCTGCTGAGGCCCGTAGGGGACCTGCTGCCAACCAGCCTGGCTGGAGGGGGGAGCTGCAGGAGGAAGGTGCTGTGGGGGGAGGTGAGTGCTGGCTCCAGAGCTGGGAGGGAAGCGAGCTAGATAGGAGCTTGGCTTTGAGTGGGGGCAGCTGGAGGTGGACCTGGTCAGAGTCGGGTCAGCCTCTGTCTCAGGCAGCAGACAGACATGGACTCAGTGAAGTTGTCTGCCAAACATCTCAGGTAATCAGGGCTCCAACAGTGAGGAGACCAAGGCAGAGGGATCTTAGGCACCTGGCTCCGGGTTCTGCAGTTAGCACCTGAAGCCTTCTGGGCCAGCAGCGGGACAGGGCGAGTGACGTCCTTCTCTCCAGCTGTGGAAACAGGCCCGAGAGCTTAGGTGACCTGGCTGGGCCATAGAGCCAGGATGGGGTTGGACTAGGTTGGACCTTTAGCTCCAATCAAGAGCATCTGATCCTGCAAACCCTCCCCAGGCTCTGTCCAAGCCTCAGTCACTTATACTTGGGGTCTCTCTCTGGGCAGTTACCGAAGAGACTGGCAAGCGGGACCGCTCGAGCAACGTAAGGCGGACTCAGGCGATTCGGAGGCGTCACAATGCCGGCAGCAACCCCACCCCCCCAGCCTCTGTCATGGGCTCACCACCCAGGTGAGCACCTGCTAGCTGCTTAGAAGGGGGTGTGGGGGCCAGCCAGCCCTAGAGGGTGCTGACCCCTGAACTGACCCCTCCCCAGCAGCCTGCAGGAGGCTCAGCGGGGCCGGGCTGCCTCCCACTCCCGGGCGTTGACACTGCCCTCTGCCCTGCACTTCGCCTCCTCGCTGCTGCTCACCCGAGCTGGAGCCAATGTGCACGAGGCCTGCACCTTTGATGACACTTCCGAGGGTGCTGTCCATTACTTCTACGACGAGAGTGGTGAGCCCTTCCCTGGGTCCAGTGGCTGAGCCTCTGATCCCTGCTAGCCAAGCGCTCTTTCCCTCCCGCTGAGGGTCATCATCCTAGCAGGGGCGCTCACTCTGTTGGATGCTTGCTAGCCCCCCTTGGCCCCATGGTGAGCACTTAACTAGCTCTTGACCTGCTGGCCCTTTCCTCTCCAGCTCTTGGTACCCAGGCATCGGGCTGCCGTCCAGGGGAACACAGCACAGGGTTCTTCTCACTGGATGGCCCTGGTGCCCTTGTGGGTTGGGCCTCAGTGCTCCTGTCCCTGACAGGCTGCCTTGTGTCCCACACCCCTGCCCCAGGTGTGCGGCGTTCCTATACCTTCGGACTGGCCGGAGGGGGCTACGAGAACCCTGTAGGGCAGCAGGGGGAGCAGGCAGCCAATGGAGCTTGGTAAGTCTCTAGGCTTGGGCTTTTCTGGCACAGTGGCCAGTCGGCTGCCATTTCTGGGGGATTTTCTCTCTCCCTTCTTTGGGCTGGGACGGGGCAACTCAGACCTCTAGGAGGAGAGAAGGGTGGGCAGCGGTGAAGGGCTGGTCTGTAGGGATCCCTTGGGCCCCTGGCTCCATGGCATCTCCAAGCAGGAGGCTTCCGGCGCCTTCCAGGAAGCCCACGACCTGGGAGGGAGTCTCCTTTGAACACCCCTGTGCTCCTTCTGGGTATTTGAGCAGCCCCCTCAGGCCCCCAGTCACGACTTGACCCCACCACTTTCCATGGCTTACCAAGACAGCTGACCCTCATGGCTGCTGTTCCCATAGGGACCGCCATTCACATTCCTCCAGCTTCCACTCAGCTGATGTCCCTGACGCAGCAGGAGGCCTGAACCTGCTGCAGCCACGGCCCGTGGTCCTGCAGGGCATGCAGGTGCGCCGAGTGCCCCTGGAGATCCCGGAGGTGAGGAGCCAGCGGCCAGGGAGGGACCTGCAGGAGGGGGCAGTGGTGGGGGGCAGACCACTGAGCACTTGCCCAGGTGCCAGGACAGACAGGTTGCTCTGAGTGAGGGCTCCAGGGGCCCTAAGGTAGCTGTTCTGATCTTTGATGTTGGGCACGGGGCGCATAGGCCCTGGACCTGAATGGCTCAAGGAGTCGCTTATTTACTTATTCAACAAATGTACGTGGAATAGCTTCTTTACTCTGGTAGGGCCCACAACTAGCGGGGACGATGGGTGTTAGCAGTGACACCTGCAGAAAAGCCAGCTGATGGCAGTGCTGCTCCCTGTCCTGGGCAACTGGTGTGGGGGATTGCTCGGGGAGCTCTGTTCCAGCTAGTCGTCTTGGCAGTTACTAATAGTGCCGCTTTTTGCTCTAAAAGTCCCAATTTGGACAATAGCTTACACAATTAGCTAAAAAAATATTAGAAATACTCAGTTTAATGCACAGACTGAGAGTTTAAAGAACATTCATAACAGTAACACCCATACATCTAACACCCAGGGCCATAGAGAGACTATGGGCAGCACCCAGAAGCCCCATGTGCCCCTTCCAGATGTGTTTATTCTCCTTAACTGTCATAGAGAATAGCAGTACTGTCCTTAAACAGCTGGTCACCTCCAGAGTCAGGGGCCGTGCTGCTTTGACTCTCCATTGTGTCCCCAGAGCCCAGCATAGGGACAGGCCCATAATTGTGTCTGATAAATACTTGTAAATTAAAGACGCAGGAAGCCCAAAGAGTTTAAGTAGTTGGCCCAGGGCCTCACAGCACTGGCATTGGCATCTAGTCCTGTCCTCAGGGCCAGCACTCTGTGTGCTGCAGGCTAGGCCTATCTGGGTGACTGTGATGGCCCTGGGACGAGGGTGATATTGCTGGGTCTGGAAGGATAAGGTGGATTTCACTGAGCCCAAGAAGAGGTGTGAGATGCTTAAGTGGGGAAGACAGACACAGGAGCTAGTAACTCTGGCTCCTGGCAGCTCCAGAGGTCCCTACAGCCCTTGATCCATGCCCTGGGAACCTGGAGAAAAGAGCAGGCCCTTGGATGGAGGATCAGGCAGGGCATGGGGCCACTAGATGGTGGGGACTTTGTGTTGACCAGCCAGTGTGTGCTGTTGTGGGGGGTGGCAGTGGATCACATGGGGGGCGCGGGGCTGATGGCCGCGGCCATGGGGACCGCAGTTTGACCTGCTGGACCAGGACTCCCTGCACGAATCCCAGGAGCAGACGCTGATGGAGGAAGCGCCACCCCGGGCCCAGCACAGCTACAAGTACTGGCTTCTTCCTGGTCGCTGGACCTCTGTGCGCTATGAGCGACTCGCTCTGCTGGCCCTGCTGGACCGGTTAGTACTCACCCACCTCGGCCCCCAGTCCTTGATCATCCCTGGCCTTCTAAGCTCTGAACGTGTGGAGGTCATCATGGCATTAGAGAACCTAACTGCTGGGGTCACTGAGGGTGCCTAGGGGGCTGGAGTCTGCAGTGGGATATATGTTCCTCTGGGTGCAAAGGAGTAGTGTAGTGGGTCATGCCGTGGTCACTCGCTCCCAGAGCTTTGCTCAAGACATCGTTTCCGTTCAGTGTGTTGTGTTTTATTTGCTTCTGTGTTAGATCCAATTAAATTGAATCTTGTAGTCAAAAAGCTAGCAAACCGTTTGTCTTAGCTTTCCCATTTTCCAAGAGGACACTGAGGCCCAGGAAGTCAGAGGAGTCAGGTGATGTTTATTGTTTGGGTGATGATTTGGGTCTGGAACCTGTGTCCTGGCTTCCCGTGCTTTGGATTCCTCTCTGCCCTGTGACTGATGTTGGCTGGGCATTGCCTGCATGCATAGAATGTAGGAACCAGAGATGGGCAAATCCCAGGGCGGTGGCACCTGGAGTCCTCGGGGTCTTGAGGTGGCAAAGATTGGGATTGAGATGCAGGGTGGCAACCTGGTGCTGCCCCGAGAGGTCACGGGTCTGGATCCTCAGGATGACGTCTGGCATGGGCACAGGCCCGGATGTGGGCCTTTGTGGCTGGGTCCTGTCCCCACCCTGAACCCCTGGCCCTGTCAGCCGGTGAGAAAGGAGGTGGGCTCTGACCCTGCTGTCTCTCCAGGACTCGGGGGCTGGTGGAGAACATCCTCGGTGTCGGCCTGAGCAGCCTTGTCGCCTTCCTGGGCTACCTGCTGCTGCTCAAGGGCTTCTTCACCGACATCTGGGTCTTCCAGTTCTGCCTGGTCATCGCCTCCTGCCAGTATTCCCTGCTGAAGGTCAGGCGTGGCTCCCTGGGTCTCCTTCCCTCCTACCTCTTCCCAGATGCCCTCTTCCCTGGACCCGTCTTGAATGGGTTGAGCTAGAAAGCAGATCAGATGCTTTAGATCCCCTGCAACCACCACCATCTTACAAATGAGAGAATTAAGGCTCAGAATAGTTTAGGGTCCCGCCCTGGTCACTCATAGCAGCCCAGGGATGGAATTGAACTGGTCCTGGGGTCTCTGACCCTCCCGTGGGTGCTGGCTCTTGTTGCTAATGTAGCTCCTGTCTCTTCCAGAGTGTCCAGCCTGATGCCGCATCTCCCATGCATGTGAGTCCCAGCAGAGCATCTCCTCTCCCTAGGGGACTCAGGCCTGGGCCCTGGGCCAGGCTGAGACCAGGTGGGGAGGGGTTTGGGTTGTGGAGAGGCAGGCCTCCCCCACCACCCCCATCACCCCCAGATCATTGGTCTTTCTGCCCCCACCCTGCCAAGCTTTCTGTCTTGGACCCAGGGCCAGGCCTGGGGCACATGAGTGTGCATGAGCCTGTGTGTGCATGTGCAAGCAGGGCGTTCAGTGGGGGAGGCCCGACTCCTCACAGGCCCCCTCCCCAGGGCCACAACTGGGTGATCGCGTACAGCCGGCCCGTCTACTTCTGCATCTGCTGTTTGCTCATCTGGCTGCTGGACGCCCTGGGCTCAGCTCAGCCCTTCCCGCCCGTCTCCCTCTATGGCCTCACACTCTTCTCTGCCTCCTTTTTCTTCTGTGCCCGTGATGTGGCCACTGGTAAGACTGGGCAGCATTGAGGTTGCTTGAGGGAGCGAGGCCACAAGGGTGGACCAAGGTGCAGCCTGCAGGCTGACCGGGCCTTTGCTTTTTCTCTGTCCCCTCCCTGCTAGTGTTCACCCTGTGCTTCCCATTCGTCTTCCTCCTGGGCCTCCTCGCCCCAGGTCAACACCTGCCTCATGTACCTGCTGGAACAGATAGACATGCACGGCGTTTGGGGCACGAGGTTAGTCGGGGCCCGCGGGTGGCT